GCCACGTCCACGCCTGTGAGGGGAGTCCTCCCCACAAGACAAAGCCTGTGCCGTAAGCATGGTGCGCTTCTCTGAAATGCTGGTGCTCTTCCACCAACCCCCCAACCCAGTGGGGCCAGCAGGCAGTTCTGGTTTCCAGGACCCCTTCTCAGAGCTCTCCTGAACCAGGAGGGCCACGGGAAGTGATTTATAAAGTGGGTCACATCTCCCTGATGGGTGACCCTTTGCAGCAGGCTGACCTGGCTGCCCCAAGTCTGTGGACTATTCAGATCCACTCTCAAACGTGTCCTCTTTTTGGCGATATATTACGGGGTTCCCCTGCAAAGGCAACCCACTGTCTTCACTAAGGTCACCAAGGACACGGGAGCCCTCTAGGTCGCCAGTGTCCTCAGAGTGGGTTTCTCCAGGTGAGAGGGGACAGGCCTGGCTTTATGTCTGAGTGGCTGGCAAGCCCGTGAGGCAGAAATACAGGCGTCCCAGAGACAAGTACCGATGGTGCATCACTCACATTGAGGGGTGCAGTTTGGGACTTTGTCTGCTTTCCTAAAACAGTGCTTCTCTACATATGAGTCATAGCAGATTTATAAGAAAAAAGCAAATAACTATGAAAAATATTTGGGTGGAACTAATGGGTCCGTGTAAATATCTCTTTCATTGGCTTTTTTTTTCGTTGCTTTCCCTAATTTTTATTCTGGCTAATGTTTTTTTAAATTGAATGTATTTGGATGCATTGATTATTGCTGTCCGTGCTATAGATAAGCATATACATTGGGGCTCTGCTCCCGAACCCACCAACGTTGATTTGACTGAGGCTCCTTAATCTGTAGTCACCAACACGGATGCTTTAGGACCCGGCTTTTTGAAAAGACAGGATCGGAACACTTCCTGCATATAGTTTCCTGAGCGTTTGGACGCCCACACTGTGACATTGTGCACACCTGGCTACACTTATTTAAAGTAAGAACCAAATGCTATGTGTCACACCACATCAACTTACTTGTTGACTCTTAAACGTTGTTCTGCATTTAGCAGCATGTAGCATAAATAAGACATTACTACACGTTGTTACCACACCTGATGGCGAGCTGTTTTCTAAAGCTACTATTTTCTGAGCGATTCAGAACTTGTTTCATATCTTTTCCCATGTCCCCCCTATCTCCATTATAACAAAAGCTCCCCCTTAGTCTCTGTATTTGCTTCTAAAATAATAAAATGTTCTTAAATGTTTCTAAAATGAACCTTGACATCATCATCTAAAACAATCGTGATAATTCTAATATCTGAAGACAATGATCTCATGATCATTTTAGAAAACATGGTTAATGTGAGTTTCATGGCTGTGTATTTCTCCCAGGTAAAGGACAGTAATATGACCAGTACGTTTGTGTCTGTCTTACATCCCGAAATGGTTGAATGGGCCACCTCATCTGGAATGTCTCCAAAGCTTTGGTCCTCTTTGACATGTACTTCCCATGTAATGTGGCTTCACACTCAACAAAAATGTAGCTATTTATAACTTTCACTCATACCAATAGTTTTCAGTACTTACTTTATAATATCTCCTTCAAGGGCAATCACTCTCTTGATGATCTTCTGTCCTGGGTTTTTAGGGGACCTAGAATAAGATAAGGTTATATGATCAGTTATGGCTCTGTTGCTTTAAGAACACAAAAGGAAATTCGACCACAACATAGGCTACATTAAAGGCATTAGAGAATCCTGAATCCTGAATCCATGCCCTTGATCCTACTTCGGTCCCAAGTGAGACGGAGTGACGATCTAAGTGATTCTCTGGAGGGGAAGTCATGCTGAAATTTCACCGAAATTAAAGAAAAGAGGGATAAAGAATTTCATTACAAAAGCTAAGTTCCTGAAGGAAAGGGGACTCATGCATAAAAAAAATATGATCAGACATTTCTGTATTTCAATTTCTTCATTCCGTTTAAAATTAACAGAGGATTCTGATTTAAATCCTCAAGAAAACATGGAGGATGGGAGGTATTTTTTGAGAAAAATAAGGAATTAGGAAATTCTCTTAAACTATATTTAGGTTTAGGCACTTAAAGATTATGTCATTCAGAGTGCTAAACCAGGCTGCTGACAGCTCAAAGAAATGGCCAGGGCCTGATATGCTTAACACAGACATCATTTATTTAAGCTGTGACCAATAGCTTATGGTAAATAATTACTTGAAGTAACAGCCTTTATCGAAATGAATACCCCTCCCTCTCTTCCTGCCTCCTTCCCTCTCTCCCCTCCCCTTCACTCTATCTGTGGTCTCTCTCATTCTGGGGGAAGCTGTGCCCAGCAGCCCTTCCCAAGGGCATAAGTGAGGTCTCCCAACCATCACGTGAAGGGACTTGGAGGTACATCCCTCAGCCCCAGTCAAGTCCTCAGGGTGCAGCTTGGCTATAGCCTCACTGCCACCGGATGAGAGACCTGAGCCAGGCACCCCACCCGCTCAGCTGGCTCTGGCTTCCTGATCCTGAGAAAATGTGTGAGCCCCACTGGCATGGCTCAGTGGTTGAGTGTCGCCCTATGAACCAGGAGTTCAGGGTTTGGTTCCCATTCTGGGTGCATGCCCGGGTTGCAGGCTTGATCCCTAGTAGAGGGCGTACAGGGAGTCAGCCAGTCAATGATTCTCTCTCATCATTGATGTTTCTCTCTCTCTCTCTCTCTCTCACTCTCTCTCTCTCTCTCTTTCTCTCTGAAATCAATAAAAATCTATTTAAAATATACATGATATGTGAGATAAGGTTTGTTTTAAGCTGCTAAGGTTGGTGGGATCATCTGTTACATGGCAATGGGTAACTCAATCTTAAAACGTCCCATTTCCTACCAATAAGACTTAAAGCCTCTTGACTGAATGGGCCTGTTTCATGTAAGTGATCACTGAGTATGTATTTAAAAATCAGGGATAAAAATATTTCCAGCCCAGCCACTGTGGCTCAGTGGTTGAGCATCTACCTATGAACCAAGAGGTTGCCAGTGGTTCAATTCCTGGTCAGGGCACATGCCTGGGTGTCAGGCTTGATCCCTAGTGTGAGGCATGGAGGAGGCAGCTCATCAATGTTTCCATCTCTCTGCCCCTCTCCCTTCCTGTCTCTAAAAAAAAAAATAATCAATAAAAAATATTTTCAATTCAAGTGTCATTTGAATTGAATATTTTTTGAAAAAAAAGTAAATGCACAAAAACTAAAACTAAAAAGGTTAAATATATTCAAATTGTAATACTTCCTCAAAGGAAAGAAAAAGTGTCAGTAAGAGTAGTGATTTACGTTACATCTGGCAGAGAAAATGAGGTCGCCTCAACCATTTGCATCGACTTGTGACAATTCGTCTCACAATTTTTCACTACATTTATTTTTTATTTTAAAAGCAAATTTGATCAGAGTGTTTGACTGAACTCTCCTTTTCACTGAATTGACTACACATTCTATTCCTCTACATGTAATGTCGCTCATGTGCAGTTAGAGTGAGGGCACTCCCCGGATGAGAGAAGACATGTCCTCTGAGCTGGGCTGTTTTTAGAAAGTTCCCTCCCATGTGTCTCCATAGACAACCAGAAACCTATGATGTTCAACCTCCGTGATCACCAAAGAATTCATATTAAAACAATGGAGTATTTATATTTTCCTATTATATTGACAAAGAAATAATAACAATACAGTTTGTCGTTGAGGATTTAGGAACATGGCTAATATGAATATAAAGTGCATGGTGCCGAAATGCCTTTCTGTAAGCATGCAAGATTTTATATTCTTTTTAACATGACAATTACACGTTTTGGAATTTATCCAAATGAAATGATTATGAACTTATACATAATTTCATCTACTTGGATGGCATCTGTTTTAAAAAATAAAATAAATTAATTCAACAAGAATAGCTTGGTTAACTAAATTATAGTCCATCCACATAATATTTCCACATCATTAAAAATGATGTTATAAAAAATGTTAATGATGTGGAAAAATCAACCGAATGTATAGATCGAAAATGCAAGTGAGATTATCTGATGTGTGCCACGACTTCACCTCTGTCATTGGAGAGAATGTACGTGCAGTTGCACTGCGAAAAATCAGGAAGGTCCTAGAACAAAAGGAAGGAGGGGGCTAAGAGGAGGCTGCCTGCATTTGGGTTCAGTCCTGGGAAGCCCCTTAGCAGGTGACAGCGGTTGGTGTCATGTGACATTCCCTGAGAAGAAACTTCCCCGGGAGGGGTGAGACCTGAACTAATGACCAGCTCCCCGCTGAATGTTGGTGCGATATTGATGCTCGTGAAACCACAGGAAAAGCAAGCCTTATCGGCATAAAACAATATTCTATGCCAGTGGTCCTCAACCTTCCTAATGCTGCGACCCTTTAATATAGCTCTTCATGTTGTGGTGACCCTCAACCATAAAATTATTTTCGTTGCTACTTCATAACTGTAATTTTGCTACCGTTATGAATCGTCATGTAAATATCTGATATGCAGGATGTATTTTCATTGTTACAAATTGAACATAATTAACGCATAGTGATTAACCACAAAAACAATATGTAATTATATATGTGTTTTCCGATGGTCTTAGGCGACCCCTGTGAAAGGGTCGTTCGACCCCCAAAGGGGTCACGACCCACAGGTTGAGAACCGCTGTTCTATGCCAACAGTCTGTAAGCTTTTGAGATACTTGAAAACTAGTTTAGATTTCTAAATTAATCTATATTTTAAGATCACGAAGAAGCAAAATAGAATATGCAAAGTGAGCTATCTATATAATTAAAGTCTTATGAATTACTACTCAGATATATCTATAAATTTTAATGTAATATTAAACTCGGATCTAATCAAATGATTCAAAATGAAAAGAAGCTATTACTAACATTAATCCCATTACTGCTCAAAAATCTGTACTTTAATCATTAGGCTGCTGGATGCGGTACTTTGAAATCCGTGGAAGTGACATGGAAATTGTTGCGGATTTACATTGGGAGAGGCCCGGCCACTTGCAGATCCCAGGACGTGAAGAATAACAAGTGAAGGATTTCACTGTACTGTAGGGACATAGCGCATCCCTGCCCCATGATACCAACATTTGCATTTACATTTGTCATTTGAGTGTTTCCGGAGTGAGCATTGTTTTGCAGCATTTATTTCTGGAGCCTGGGTTTTAACTGTTCTGTTTCCTGAGGATGATTTAATTAGGCGGGAGCTCTGGGAGGCTTGGACAGAGGCCTGGGTGGTCTCCGCACAGCAGGACTCAGTTTGATTTGGCAGAATTTGTCTCTAACGAGCGTGGTTGTGGGGAGGGAACAGTCCAGCATAGGTGTAAGGTTTATGATACTTAATATTCTTCTTTTTTTAAAAAAACTATCAGCTGCCTCCTGCACGGCCCCTATGGGGGACCAAGCCCAAAACCCAGGCACGCGTCCTGACCTGGAATTGAACTGAGACCTCCTGTTTCATAGGTCGACTCTCAACTGCTGAGCCACACCAGCCAGGCAGTATTCTTAAATTTCACTCCCTACCTTGATGGAAATGTTGCCATTTTATCCTGTGACCAGCCCAATAGAGTCATGTCTTTGGTCTAAGCACTCTCTCTAGGTGAAATTCCACATGGAAACTAGCATGATTTCTCTAAAGTGCTCAATCTCCACTGAACATTGACAATGGAGGTTAGAAGTGTAATATGGCCCGTTCTGCTCTAACCTCACTGAGCTGGTTCGATTGGAAAGCACAGAACCTGTGTTTTGCGGGAGAGTTCTTAGGCCCCAACAACTCCGCACAATTGGCTCCCCTGAAAATGTCAACTTGATGCCCCCGATAGCAGACTGAATAGTCTCCGAACATTCTCTCCAGAAATAAAACCCGTGAGGCTGGGGATGTGCAATCTACCTGCCACAGCTCCCCTCTGGGAATGGCAGCGTCACCCGCTCAGCGTGAGCGCCATGTCCACAGCGCTGCTGCTAAGGCATCCGAAACCTTTCCCAGGCATTTCATCTCCCGCAGTTCATACTGCGATACATGCTACCATGATAGTTGATGAACAATTTCAACTAAAAAACACGAAGATGGCCGAAGCCGGTTTGGTTCAGTGGATAGAGCGTCGGCCTGCGGACTGAAGGGTCCCAGGTTCGATTCCGGTCAAGGGCATGTACCTGGGTTGCGGGCACATCCCCAGTGGGAGATGTGCAGGAGGCAGCTGATCGATGTTTCTCTCTCATCGATGTTTCTGACTCTCTGTCTCTCTCCCTTCCTCTCTGTAAAAAATCAATGAAATATATTTAAAAAAAAAAAAACACGAAGATGAAAGGGCATGTCTAACTTCTGTTCTTAAAGGAACCCGTTTATCTCTAGGTCTCCCAGCAGGCCCTTCCTCCCCCAGCATATGGCATCATCTGCTTGCCTGGCTGGGCCCAGCCGTTCCCCCCGGCTGGCCACTGGCACACGGGCACCCCTGTCCAATTCTCTATAGCGCAATCCAAGACCTATCCCTGGTCTTTCCCAATTCTTTCGTCCAAAAATTTTCTCTGATACCAACCTGTGTATGTTGGACACTCATGTGTCTCAGATACCATCTTCCAATTAGAACATACGCCAGTTTGCTTTGGGCCCTCTGTTTTCAGCACA